GTCTAGGTTGGCTAACTGATAGCTTGATATAACCCTTTAACCCATCTATGTTGGCTAGCTGATATCTTTACTATAACCTTTTACACCCTATAGGTCGGCTAGCTGATATATTACAACCTCTAGGTTGGCTTACTACCATCATTCCTTTTACCCTATAAACTGTCTAGGATGGCTTACAATTATCTTTACTATAACCTTTAAAACCCTCTAGGTTGGCTGACTGCTATCTATATTATAACCCTTTACAACCTCTAGGTTGGCTGACTGCTATCTATATTGTAACTCTTTACACCCTATAGATTGGCTGACTGCTATCTTTACTTTAACCCATTACACCTTCTAGATTGGCTTACAATTATTTTTACTATTATCTTTTACACCTTTTAGATTGGCTAACTGCTATCTTTATAACAAAACTATATTTTGTTTGGTTGGCTTAATATCATTAACAGTGGCTTACTGCTATATCAATATAAAAGGTCTGATGTTTCTATGAACTAATCATTATATATCGTGGAGATTTATCTCTGATCTTTATTAGACCCATATAAAACAGGCTTTAGCTCTGGACAGAGGAGAACTTAGCACTAAGTATCAGCTTAGTCTAATTCATGGCTGGGGAGAGCTGTTCATTACGACCATGTTAAGAATTGTCGATTATGTTATCTCCAAACCAAACAATTAGCTGAATTATAATCTGCAACTTAGTACTTTACTAAACGAGATGGTAAGGTGGTTTATGAAGATTTCCTTCTGATATTTACTCATCTTCACAATGTCGAGATATTACTAACTTCGTCTTGTAAATTTCTTGTAGCACGTAATGCAGTAAAGCAATGAGAACCTTCAACAGAAAGTCTGTAAACATTATGGTTTATTTTTTACAGACTTTCTATCGATGACGCTTATTGGTTGTATTTCCAATACAAGAGAAGTGGCTATTGCTGTCACGGTCTTGTACACAGTTAGTAATAGCTTGACATTGTGAAGATTAGACACAGTTAGTAATAGCTTGACATTGTGAAGATTAGACACAGTTAGTAATAGCTTGACATTGTGAAGATTAGACACAGTTGGTTATAGCTTGACATTGTGAAGATTAGACACAGTTAGTTATAGCTTGACATTGTGAAGATTAGACACAGTTAGTTATAGCTTGACTTTGTGAAGATTAGACACAGTTGGTTATAGCTTGACATTGTGAAGATTAGACACAGTTAGTTATAGCTTGACATTGTGAAGATTAGACACAGTTAGTAATAGCATACTAGATGTTAAGGTGGTTTACGAAGATTTTCTTCTGATATTTACTCAGATATTGATTTCAACCCACCTCACTCCCATCATCTCTACAATATTTCTTATTATCCAGTTTATTGGACGTCCGCAGGCAATATCCACCAAAATTAGCCAAATTTTTATTCGGCTTTGATTAATAATATTAATTTCATTGGGTATTTTCAAGATAAACTTCAAACTAGAAGACAAATTTTACCTTCCCTTATGTCATTGTGGTTTTATTTTTTTTCTTCCATTTTTTAATTTTGATCATTCGGTTTTTATTGGCTTCACTAAACAGTCTATCATAAAAATCTTTTGCCTCTTTTTTACTGTGAGTCAGATAGTGTTTTTTATGCTGTTCTGTGAATGCAAAGCCAGTGGGCGTATAGGACCTTGTCTGGCAAGCTACCAGCTCATGTATATAAATATTCTCCCCCCCCCCCCCCTTGAAGATTTTAGATGACTTGAATGACTTCTTGAGTCTCATAGTTGAGCCCCTTTGAAAAAATTAGGTCCCCTGAGATTCTGGGCTAGCTATGAACTTAAAAAGCTATCTTGAAATATTCAGCATATTATATCAATCATATCAGCCTTCATCTCTTCAATCAACTAAAAACAAAACTATATCTCTTTATGTTCTATTTGCTTGTAAAACAAAATTTAGACAATCCCTTCAAGGTTAAATTTCTGAAGCTGGAAAAAAGAAATAGATGGCTATATACGTTTGATTTGAAAGGAATTGTAACTGACTGAGCTATAGTCTCTCGAACTTCACAAAAGAGAATAAAAATACGATTATGTACCTTTGATTGAAGCGAACGTTAACTTGTCATCTACCAACCAACCAACCTTTTATTGAAATGAAGTGTAGAGATTATTGTTGGTATATTACTAAAGTAATTAATGACTATACTTAACGAGCTATTAATTATGATGTAATGAATAAACTAAATAATTACTGTATCAATATCAATATTACTTAAGATATTTTCTATTATAAAAAATATCAATAACGGAAATCAATAATACATACATATTGATCATTGATTGATTTTTATACAGTGGTAATAACATGGGCTGATATTCTAGATTCTTATAGCTGAACAAAGGTTTTTGTGCACATTATGGATTTGAAACATAAACAAAAACAGTCTATTTTATTATTAAAGTTGAATACAATATAGGTCTGACTTGTATAGTTTCTATTACTATTTATTCT